TGTATGCCTTAAAGACTTCTATGTATTTATTAAATAGGGTTCCTAGTAAGGCAGTTCCAAAGACTCCCTTTGAACTGTGGACGGGAAGGAAACCCAGTTTACGACACCTGCATGTTTGGGGTTGTCCAGTAAAAGTAAGAATTTACAATCCACATGAAAAGAAATTGGATTTAAGAACAACCAGTGGTTACTTCATTGATTATGCAGAGAAATCCAAAGGGTATAGGTTTTACTGTCCTAATCATAGTACAAGAATTATTGAATCTGGAAATGCTAGGTTCATTGAAAATGTTGACATTAGTGGGAGTGAAAGAATGCGTGATGTTTGCATTCAAGAAGTTAGGGTGGAAGTTCCTCTACCCAAAACTTCTAAAGTTGTTGTTCCTGATATTGTAGTTCAACCCAACAATAATCAAGAACAACAAATTAATGATAAACACTTCATAATGAAAATGTCAATATTGAACCTACAGTAGTTGAGCCACAAGAAATAGCATTAAGAAGATCTCAGAGAGAAAAGAGGTCGGCTATTTCTAATGACTACGTGGTTTATCTACAAGAGTAAAAAATTGACTTAGGAATTGGTAATGATCCAGGTTCATTTTCACAAGCCATGGAATGTGATGATTCTACTAAATGGTTCAATGCCATGGAAGAAGAGTTAAAATCTATGGATCAAAATAAAGTTTGAAATCTCGTTGAATTGCCTAAAAGATGCAAAAAGGTCGGGTGTAAATGGGTCTTTAAGACCAAGCGCGACTCAAAAGGTAATATCGAACGATATAAAGGTAGACTTGTTGCTAAAGGTTTTACTCAGAAATAAGGCATTGACTATAAGGAGACATTTTCACCAGTCTCCAAGAAAGACTCACTTAGAATCATTATGGCTTTGGTGGCTCATTACGTTTTAGAGTTGCACTAAATGGATGTTAAAACTGCCTTTCTTAATGGGAATTTAGAGGAAGAATTTATATGGACCAACCCGAAGGCTTTTCAGTTAAAGGAAAGGAACACATGGTGTGTAAGTTAAAGAAATCAATATATGGACTTAAACAAGCTTCCCGACAATGGTATCTTAAGTTTAATGATACCATAACTTCTTTTGGATTTAAGGAAAACACTGTTGATCGATGTATATACATGAAAGTCAGTGGGAGCAAGTTTATTTTTCTAGTTCTATATGTTGATGACCTTTTGCTTGCTACTAATGATCTTGGTTTATTACATGAAACCAATAAATTTCTCTCTAAAAATTTTGAAATGAAAGATATGGGAGAGGCAACGTATGTGATAGGAATAGAAATATTCCGTGATAGATCACAATGATTGTTGGGGTTGTCTCAGAAAGCCTATATTGATAAAATTTTAGAGAGATTCAATATGGATATATGTTCAGCAGGAGTAGTTCCAATTCAGAAAGGTGACAAATTTAGTCTTATGCAATGTCCGAAAAGTGAATTGGAACAAGAACGAATGAAAAGTATTCCTTATGCATCTGTTGTCGGAAGCTTAATGTATGCTCAAACTTGCACCGGACCAGACATTAGTTTTGCTGTCGGAATGCTGGGCAGGTATCAAAGTAACCCAGGATTAGATTATTGGAAAGCTGTAAAGAAAGTTCTCAGATACTTGCAAGGAACGAAGAATCACATGCTCACTTATAAAAGATCTGATCATCTTGAGGTGATTGGATATTTAGATTCAGACTTTGCCGGATGTACCGATACAAGAAAATCAACTTTTGGTTACTTGTGTCTTTTGGCTGGAGGCGCAATTTCATGGAAAAGTGCAAAGCAGTCAGTTATTGCTACATCTACTATGGAGGCTGAGTTTGTGGCATGCTTTGAGGCCACTATTCATGGGATATGGCTGCGGAACTTTATTTCGGGGCTTGTGATTGTCGACAGTATTGCCAGACTGCTCAAAATTTATTGTGATAACTCTGCAGCAGTTTTCTTCTCTAAGAACGACAAATATTCTAAGGGTGCTAGTTAAATACTTGTCTGTTAAAGAAGATGTTCAAAAAAAGAAAGTGTCAATTGAGCACATTCCAACCTTATGATTGCAGATCCCTTAACAAAAGGACTGCCGCCCAAAATATTTAAAGAACATGTTGAAAGGATGGGTATTATTGGATGTCATTAATGATTGTATTATGAGTGCATTAAGTTTATTGATTTGACACTGTGAGCTCAATTATGTGTTTCTGATATCTCATGTTTTCTATTTGGTATACACGATGGAAATAGATGAATGTGTAACAGGACAGTCTCTAACAGAGACATTATAGTTGGACCATTACTATACTTCTCATTTATGGATCATATTAAGTAGAGAGCTATAGTTGTAGTACATGGAAGGGACTATGTCGATTAATGGCGTACAACCGCTCTGACTCGCATTAGTTTCTTTATTTAACTGTGATCATTATGTGATAGGCAATTTAAGAAAGGTTTTAGCATAATGTTATTGTGCACATTATGGTCATTATTAAACCATGAAAGGAAGGTCATATGGGCCAAGCGGGAGAATGTAAGAATAATGTGGCCCACATGATATTATGAATTAATGGTTTAATAACTATTTAAGTGCTAAAACATATTTTCTATGAAAATAGATGAAAATGTGTAATTCTATTGAGAAGTTAAAATTCCTCCGAAGAGGTGCGACTCTTACGAAGTGGGATATGCTTTGATGGAAGGCACCACTTGAAGGGATATATATAAATAGAGTCTGGTCCTCTCTCCACCCACGATAACATACGAAAAGAACGTTATATTTTTTATCCTCCATCGATAAGATACGTTAAGCGAAAAGTGGGTTAAGGGAGAGAAATTAGATTTCTTCGTTTCTTCCGTTTTCTCCAACAATTATCTTCAAGGGAAACGCTATGGATAAAAGTATGTCTTCATCCCTCTTATTGTGAAAATCATGAAGATCCTAGTTCATAAATTTTCCGCATAAAAGAATTACGTTATAACTTACACAGAAGTGTCACGAGGACGTTGGATTTAGGTTCAAGACTATCCGCATTAAGATTTCGAAAAATTATTGAAAAATAGATCTTGCCTCGGGACACCACCTGTTGCCGTGCCGCCGAGTTCGGCGATGCATAGATGGGAAGAGAGGTGTTACAACTGTTACAAGGGACGATGGGGGTGGTATATCAATTTTAGTCTTAACCAAAAAAAAGAAAATTATCAATGTTAGCCGGATCGAAATGTTGGAATACTTATACAGAAGGAACTATAAGTTGCAATGAAGTCAACGAGCTCTCAATTTAATATTAAGGTCTTCCAAGAAATTCAAAGACGCGGGCCTTCTTTTTCGTCGCCCCTCTCGAACTTCTCGCCACCCAGCGCATGTTGGGCACCTCGTCGACGATCAGGCCACCGAGGAAAAGACGGCGGTGGCTTTCGTGTTCAAGATGGACAGGCCGTGGCTGAGGCCGGACAAGGTGAGTGTAGAGATCCTGGGGGGTGGGGGATGCAGGTGAGCGAGGCCATAGCTTCTATGAGCACCGACGGTGTGCTCACCATCGTGATTCCCAAGAGGCATCGGCCTCGGAAGTGGTACCCGTACAAGGACTTGGCATTGATTAAATTCAAAACTATCCGCAGAGCAGAGCAGAGCTCGCACATGAAACTTTAAAATTTTGCTTTGACTAAACCGTGATTTCGTATGGATTTTCGTCACATCCCATGGCTCCATAATGCCCTTATCTACCATTTTCATAAAATTTCACAACTTAACAACTCTTAAATTGGATGCCGCAGTTCAAATTTCACATGACTTCTAATTTGAACCATAACTTGAAAAATTACTCCGATTGAATGAACAAAGCACTTGAATCCTTATTGGGCATTGCGAAATGGTGTTAATATGGCTTGACGAGGTCATGATGACATGTACGCGTAAAAATCCTCTTTTCCTTTCCCTTTCATTTTTTCCCCTTTGTTTCTTCCTTTCCTTTCTATTTATGCTTGCTCTCCCTCTTCAATAGTTGAACGGCTACTTTTCTTCCTTCCTCGCAACCATGGGTCTCCTGTGGATTCTGAGTGTTCGATTACGAGTAATTTCACCATTGAAGAGGAGTCGAAGCTTTCACAGGAGCTTTCGCGGTCTGTTCGTTTGATATACAGTGACGGCGAGCTCCATAAATACATTTCTTATTTTAATATACCGGTAGACATGCGCCTTGCGTCCTCAATTTTATCTACATCTTTATCTTTCCTGAAGAGAGAGAATACTCTTTCACGTCTTAGAAATCTCGAGGTAAGAACGTACTTAAATCCCGCATTTCCTCCTTTTGTCGTGTAGTCAAAATTCTTTTCTTTTCTTTTCTTTTGCACTCCTCTCTGCATGGAGCAAGCCAGAACGAAAAGGTCAATATTACGCAATACGCGGTCGAGAATATCCGACAAGCAAAGTCATCTATGAAGTGATGATTTGCAAATGGTGACTTGAATGGATCAACTCATCTGACTAAGATGCCCGCATTGACTAGTTCAAAGTGAGTCTGCTCATCGAGTCAGTGTCAATGAGGTTGCTCACATTCAATCAAATCCTTTTATTAATTCCGTTCAACTTGACAAACGATAATACTAACAAATTTTAGAACTTGTTTCACCAACTTAATAAGTTTTATGATTTGATTGCACTTTTTAAATATTTTAGGACTTAATTACACTTTCTTGACAAGTTTTAGGACTTTCAATGCTCCACTAATAAAAAATATGACTTAGACTTAAAAAAAATGCAAATTTGTCTAATCAAGTCTTTTGTGAATTGCACTTTTTAAAAGTTTTATGACTCAATTGCACTTTCACGACAAATTTTAGGATTTAATTACACTTTTTGAAAGTTTTAGGACTCAATTGCACTTTCATGACGAGTATTTAGGACTTTCAATGCAATTATCTCAACACTAAAATAAACCAGTCAAAGTAAATTTCATCCAAGGGTCACGATGAAAGCAATGCCGGCATTTCCATCTATATAAGAAGAGGGGGCATTGCATCGGTGAATCACAGCTTCACAACACCGGTGTTACGGGAAGAAAAGAGAATTCAAGTCATCATGGAGTCCTCGGCTCCTCCCTCAGGCAAACGGGGCATGATCTGGAAAAAAATCGTTACGACCCGGAAAAAAATCGACAAAGCCCAGAACAAAGTCAAGGGCGCGGCCTTCTTTTTCGTCGCCCCTCTCCTCGCCACTGAGAGGCCCGTGTTGGGAAACACGGCGTTCGATCAGGTCACCGAGGAGGAGACGGTGGCGGCGTTCGTGTACAAGATGGACAAGCCGTGGCTGCAGGCGAACGAGTTGAGGGTGGAGATCCGGTGGGGCAATGCCTTGTGGGTGATCGGCGAGGGAGACAAGACCATCAAGGTGAAGCTGCAGAAGAACCATAAGATGAGGTTGAGCCAGGCCACGGCTTCTATGAGCGCCGACGGCGTGCTCACCATCGTGATTCCCAAGAGGTTGCGGCCTCGGAAGTGGTACGAGTATAAGGACTTGGCATTTAATAAGTTCAAAACAGTCTGTGTTAGGATTTCTTGGCCTTAAAGAAGTGTCATAACACTGCAAGTGCTCGAACTGTCGATGTGATGAACCCTTGTTCTTAGCCTCCCAGCTTGTTGTTGATCAACATGGTTAATAATTTGATCTTCTGTTTCTTTTAACACATTGCTTGAGTGCAGATTCATCTGAGCAGTGTGTTCAACTTGTTTAGCACTTTTAGTGGTGAAACTAGCATTCAAGGCCTCAAATCTTTGTTCTATATCCTGGCAATTTGGCATGACATTCTATTCTCCAACTATGGTAGTCAAAAGATGGGTTACGCGGATATTTGCAAGGCCATGATTGTTGGGAACTCAATGGTTTCAATTAGTGATAAAGTCCAATCGAGAATGATGGATACCAATTAAATTAGTAAATAAGAGTTCGAATATAAAGTGGGTGGATTCTAATATGCCCTGAAATCTCTCGAATTTTGCAAAAATCGAATTACTAAATAGTGCACAAACTACAAATTGAAAACCACAAAGAAATTGTATGAAACTTATAGAATACAAGTGGAATGCTTTTATAAACATAAATGAATATTAGATTCAAGAAACCTAATCTAACTAGATAATCTATTCCAATCGATCTATCATGAACGATTTTCCCGTCTTCATAATCAAAATTCGATGTGTTGCTGTAACTTTTGGATGTCTTCTTTTTTTTGGTCGTAGTGATGTCTTCTTCATTGCCTATGATTGTTCTCTTTTTTTACTCTTCCTGAAATGGACCATTTTGTTATGCATTCTACTCTCGATCGATGGATCCTTTTGGACTCGATCTTTAACTTGTGTGCATGCTTTGAGTTGATCGATCGTCACCACATGCCATATACATCACTTAACTTTCCCCATCGGAAATTCATGATGGATGAACTTATCAAGCATTTCATCGATGGGTCTCGTGGGTCCACTGTATTATCATGAACTTCATGATTGGTGAGCGTGTCAGCCATTCCAAGCAATATGAGGATAAGGAAGTCTATCAAGATGGCCTTCTACTTCGTCGCCCCTCCTAGATTCCAGGTGGCCAGGCTCTGTGGGGTACAACCACGTACGACCAGGTCACCGAGGAGGAGATGGAGTCGGCCCAAGTGTACAGGATGGACAAGCCGTGGCTGACCCAGGAGGAGGTGGCGGTGGAGATCCGGTGGGGGCGGGTCCTATGGGTGGTCGGCCAGGGGGACGAGACGGTTAAAGTGAAGTTACCAAGGAGCAACGGGGTGAAAGTGCGCGCCGCGACAGCCTCCATGAGCGATGACGGCATGCACTCTGTCGTGGTTCCCAGGCATGACCAGCCTCGGAAGTGGTACAAGTACAAGGATTTGGGACTTATTAGGTTCAAGATGGTCCACGTTCCGATTTGCAGTTAAATTCATTCCAACAAAATCAGTTTCACACGATCATTAAATTAAAGATGCCGTAATAAAAATCACCACTTGATAATTGGCCTGGCCTCCATTTTCGCTAGCGATTTTATCTTGCTTTTTTAGTTTCATTCACTGTTTCAAATTTTTGAAAAAAATTTCACTTCATATTAGATATATCGCATTTTCAGGAACAGCTGATCAAACAAATCCAATTCCATCCGAGGATGGTTCAGAGTCATGTCCGATGAATTTAGGACGAGCGTGATCGCTTTCTTTTTCCACAAATCTTTGGTCAGCGTTTGAGTCTCTTCTACCCCCTGTCAAGAAAACAATCAATCTTCACGTCAAGAAACCATGCAAAGTTCCTGGAAATTCCATGGACGACGACCCAAACTGTAAGCAACGACCCCGCCATGGATCGACGAAGCAGAGAAATCTCCCTTCTCCACCCACTTCGCACCGCTAACCATTTTCTATGCACGCCACCGTAGAGTTTCTTCGCCATTTGCACGAAGAACAAGTCTTGGCTCGTCGTCATCTTTCTTCTTCTTCTTTGACCAAAACAAATCTTTCTTCATCTTCTCTACTATATATTGCCGTGACCCTCCCGACGTGGGGGTCAGGAAAAGACGGGTTTAGAGATAATGGCCGAAGATGGATGATATTTCGCAACCATAATTGCCGGAATTCAATGCGTCAGAATTAAATTGACAAATGTCGACGTGCAAGTTGATAGTGTAGAATGATGATCATTAATTCACTGCCATATTAGTTGTAGAAGGGAGCTGATATGCTTGCAACCATAATCGCTCGGAATTCAATGCGTCAGAATTAAATTGACAAATGTCGACGTGCAAGTTGATAGTGTAGAATGATGGTCATTAATTCACTACCATATTAGTTGTAGAATGGGGCTAATATGCTTGGAATTACATATTTGATGATTTTTAATTTTTAAATTGTTGTGATTCCGTGTTTAGTAATTTTCACGGAACGTTTCGGAAGTACATATTTTTCTAATTTATCTGTACTTCGAAAGGACACTACTTTCCTTTTTTACATTCTGATTACTTAATAAAATATCTACTTTGAAAACTCTATAGTTGAGCCGTTGGTCTCTAACTTTGTACACATCTCTCTTCATTTTTCGATCAAGTATTTTAGATCAACATTCCTATTTCCAACTTATCTTGACCTATGTGCTGAGGACTCCATTGATTTGTGATTTTTATTAATATTATTTCTATTATTGTTTAAAAATGAAGGCGTGAACTCTCCAAGAAGTTGGCTAAGTGATTAAATATTTGATTTGGATGAAGTGAATCTACTACAAATCGCAGCGTTTTCCACTCGGATTAACCTTATGGGTTACGACTGCCACCCTGTGGATAGAGTCTTATCCGATGCATGTGGTCAGAGTTGTTTGCTTGCGTGTATCTATGAAATTTAATCAAATTGAAAGTTCTGAATACTTTATATTGATCTAAAGCAAAAGGAAATGTATTAGAAATCATAAAGAAAAAATAAAGCAACAAAATATGAAATAAAGAATAATCCAATAGCTTAATATGAAATAATAGATACATATGAAAGGTAAAAAAAAAAGAAGGTTCAAATCACAACCGTTTGGGTCGAGCGCCAGGCCTTCTAAGCTCCTCTCGACACTCTGCTGCGCATTGGGATAGGGACTATCAGGTGTGCCTTGATCCATCTCTAGATCGTAGTCATGCTTCTCGCCAGAGAAACCAGTTCTCCAGAATCCTGATGCACACAGACTTTGTTTTGTGGCTTTTGTTTTGTTTGGAGCTCCTCGGTGATTATCTTGCAGGCAAGCTTTTTAGTTCTATATATATTTCAATAAGTGACATTATTGATAAGATTCAGTGCTAATTCTTAAGCACTTTCTAATCCGTCAGTGCTTGTAGATACGAGCGACTAAGGAAACACTACAAAAAAATTAAGTTTTAGCGACGAATTTTGCCACGAAAAATTTGATAAAATTCGTCGCTAAACGAATTTGCGATGAAAAAAAATTCGTCACTAATAAGGCGTCGCAAAATTTAGCGACGAAAAATTTCAATTTTCGTCGCCAACTATTCGTGGTAATATTCGTCTCTAATTTGCCACGAAATTATTCGTCGCAAAATTCGTGGCAAAATTCGTTGCTAATTTGCCATGAATTCTATTCGTGGCAAAATTCGTCGCTAATTTGCGACGAACATTTTTTTTTGGGTCGGTAATTTGCAACGAACTTATTCGTGGCAAAATTTATCGCTAATTTAGCGAAGAAAAATTTTGACTTTTGCGACGAACCTTGTTCCGAAACGAATTTACGACGAATTTTTATTAATTCTTTAGCAACCAACTCTGCGTCGAATATTGTTTAGAGACGAAATTAGCAACGAAATTTTATTTTTGCAACGAACTTTTATAATTTGTGATCGTATGATAAAATCATTTCTTTTATTTTTCGATTTTAAATCTAATTAACAGCAAAATTAATTTCTAGAATTTATATTTAACATTGATTAAGCACTTAATAACATCAAAATATTATAATAATATGAAAATGAATACATTCATCAACATTTTCCACAAGAATGGCTCTTTGCGCCTAGTTTATCCAACATTAGAAATCTCTACATAGCTCTGGTCTGCTCTAATTCATCACTATGAACTTGCCCAAAATTGGAAAGTACAGAAAGAAAGAGAAGTCAAAGGAGCATGCCAGGATGAGATCGAAAAGTCGAATGGACAATCCTCACAGAAACCTCGGTGGCATCAAGATCGCGTCACTCATTCCATGTCACCACCCATCCCCTCAAAGGTCCCATACTCGTAATCCTCGTCAAGATTCACTTCATATTACATTTTCAGGAACAGCTGATCAAACAAATCCCACTCCATCCGAGGAGGGTTCGGAGACATGTCCGATGAATAAGGACGAGCTGGATCACTTTCTTTTTCCACAAATCTTTGGTCAACGTCCGAGTCTCTTTCTGACCCCTCCTCTGTCAAGAAAACAATCAATCATCACGGTCAGGAAACCATGCAAAGTTCCTGGAAATTCCATGGACGACGACCCAGACTGTAAGCAACCACCCCGCAATGCATCGAAGAAGCAGAGAAATCTCCCTTCTCCACCCACTTCCCGCCGCTAACCATTTTCTATGCACGCCCACCGTGGAGTTTCTTTGCCATTTACACGAAGAACAAGTCTTGGCTCCGCGTCAATATAATCAAATTGAAAGTTTCGAATGCTTTATATTGATCTAAAGCAAAAGGAAATGTATTAGAAATCATAAAGAAAAAATAAAGCAACAAAATATGAAATAAAGAATAATCCAATAGCTTAATATGAAATAATAGATACATATGAAAGGTAAAAAAAGAAGAAGGTTCAAATCATCATTGTTTGGGTCGAGCGCCAGGCCTTCTAATCTCCTCTCGACACTCTGCTGCGCATTGGGATAGGGACTATCAGGTGTGCCTTGATTCATCTCTAGATCGTAGTCATGCTTCTCGCCAGAGAAACCAGTTCTCCAGAATCCTGATGCACACAGACTTTGTTTTGTGGCTTTTGTTTTGTTTGGAGCTCCTCGGTGATTATCTTGCAGGCAAGCTTTTTAGTTCTATATATATTTCAATAAGTGACATTATTGATAAGATTCAGTGCTAATTCTTAAGCACTTTCTAATCGGTCAGTGCTTGTAGATACGAGCGACTAAGGAAAGTATTTTGGACTTTGCAATCGTGATGATGAAGCAAGTTGTGTAGTGGATTTCTGACTCTGGTGGTAGTATTTGCACGACAAGGTCTTCGTGACACGTGCGCGCAAATCTCTTTCTTTCCCTTTCTTTCTTCCTTTCCTTTTTATTTGCGCGTACTCTCCCCCTATTCAATAGCTTAATGGCCACTTTTGGCCCACAATGACTTGTCAAACTGAGCCTGGTCATCGGGTCAGAGTCAATGAGGTCGTCCACATTCAGCCGACGTCCTCGTTCATTTTAAAAGAGGGGAAGGATTCCGGGCATTTCGCCGGAGAATGACAGATCGACCGGGCAATCGAGCAGCTCATCAGCCATTTCGAGAGGGGAAACACAAAAAGCGTTCCCCCCGTTGCCACTTCCAAGTGAGAGCTCAGGTGTGGAGTTTTAGTTGACCTACTCACAAACAGAGGCGCGCCATAGAAGAGAGGTTGAGCCGCAAGCGATGGTCGGAGACGAGGGAAAGAAGGTGAACAGGGACCGACGAGGGGAGTTTATAATAACTTTGCACGCTGACTCTTTTTTTTTTAACAATGTCAAGTTTATAAATACTGCTCTACATAATTTATTTATTAGAAGTGATTTATCAAACTATAAGTGATTTTTACAAGCGAGCCATATTTATCGGCAAAAGGACACTATAAGTGCCATAAGTTGTGTACGGAGATCACTTTGGTGCCATAACTTTTTTTCGGATCACTTTGGTGCCAACTTTTTTGAAAAACGATCACTTTAGTGCCAATGCTGATATGGCCGTCGGAAATCTGACGTGGCTCTTTTTTTTATTAATTTCTGATGCTGACATGGCTTGCCGGAAATCTGATATGGCTCATCGGAAATCCGACGTGGCTCTTTTTTTTGGCCGGAATTTTGGCCGGAGTCACTAAAGTGATCTCTTTTCCTCCGACTTGGCACCAAAGTGATCCGAAAAAAAGTTATGGCACCAAAGTGATCTCCGTACACAACTTATGACACTTATAGTGTCCTTTTGCCCATATTTATCAATCACTATCAGTTAGAAAAAAATGAAGACTTGTAGAGTTTCATGAATAAATTTGATATTTAGAAACATCCGTGAGATGAATCTCCGAAGCCTACATCTGCGTCGGAGGTTGATGAAACCCTACTTAAAACCAATAAAAATTTGACTTGACCTTTTGCTTTTTGTGAGTATACACACACACTCTTACTTATACACGCGCGCACAAAGAAGCGGCAAAAGATCCCCTACTCGTAGGATCCTTTCGTTGGTATCTCAATCAATTCTAAGCCACAAAAGTTTGATATCTTCGTATGGGGATATGGCCAAGAGGGAGCTCGAGTCCGAGCCCGTCAACATATCTAGTTGACCGACCTTCGCTCTAAAGTTTAAGTCAACGAGTTACGAGTCAAATGTAATATATTAACTACTTCGCACTTCATTAATTCTCCGATGTAAACCTTTTCTAAGACAACTCATACATGCATCTCAACAATCTCCCTCCCTACGTGTGATTTCTGTGTTAGGTTTGATTCTTTTAGTTTAGGTTTCCTTCTATATCAACATATCTCAACTTGAATCCCCACTTTGTTGTGTGTGAGAATCGCAACAACAACAATACCCACCTTCATTCCTTACCAAACTATGAAAGCTGTCATCAGAATTGCGTTATTGTACCATAGTGCGCACCTTCATCACTAGTCTCTTCCATCGGACCGAGTCATGAAGGTTGCCCAGAAACCACGTTGGTCATGAGATTTCTTCCTTGAGCTATTACTAAATACTGAAACAGACCGGGGGCCCACAAATCTATCATTCTGATGCCATTTGTTGAGAGCGCACAACAGGAACTTGATATCTTAACTTGAGGAGATCGCTAAGAAAGCTTAAGTATGAGCCTGTCAACATATTTAATTGATCCCACCTTCACTTGAAAGCTTAACCAATAAGTTATGTGATAGCTAAATTATATTAACTACTTCGCACCACATCAACTCTCTAGTGTGAGATTTTTTTAACACAATTCACACGTTCATCTCAACAGTCAATTTATCAAGTCAGAGTCAATGAGGTGGTTCACATTCAGCTGATGTCCTCATTCATTTTAAAAGAGGAAGCATTTCGGGCATTTCATCGGAAAGTCACAAATCCACGAGGCGATCAAGTATCAATTAAAAGCAACATTTCTTCTTAATTTCCTTCCGTTCCAAAACACTAATGGCCCCATTTTGGGCAATGAAAACTCAGTACTCCACCGTTTCTTTGGTCCACAGTTCAGAGTGAGATTGAGAAACAGCTGTTAGCAAGGAATGGCTTCCACAATGCTTACGGAAATCGCCAGCCGCTGATAAGAAAACGTGTAACATCAATCTCCGGTAAGCACGAAAACAGCCCGCCAACATTTCCCTTTCTTTTCAGAATCTTGTTGCACAAACAAAGACAGATCTGTGGGAGACCTTGATAAGCCAGACACAGAACATTGAGATATTTTGTCTCTGCAAAGCAAATATCAGCCACAACCTGTTCATCACATCAGCTGCTATGGGCTCTCTTTACCTACACAATTCCATGGATTTCTTTCAGCAATCGTGGTGCTTCTCTTTTCCATCTTTGTCGTTTCTCTTGGCAGGGAGACAAGCGCGCAGTTTGTCGATATCATCGGCCTAATTGCAGTTTTTAGAAAGACTGAACCGAACAATCAAACCAAAGAAAAGTTTGGCATATGAACCAACTTGAAGTAGTTTATCGAACAATCTCAGTGAACGCGTGATGTAGTCTAGCCCGCCATTCAATTCTGATTCAGCTGAATAATGCCTTGAAGGGAGTCAACCTTCATATGCTGAAGGTAAACACATCTATGCAAGTTTCTAGCTCTGGCTTCACTGGCAATCATTGACTCTTGAATCTACAATTAGTCCTCAAATTAATGGCTCATCATAAATTTGGGTGGGGGTGTAGACATCAACCTGGAAAGATGGCCATTTCTTGGAGTTACTATTGGTGAGAAAAGTTAGTACTTGAGCCACTGGGTGTCAGAGTCGACTTCCACTGTAACATGTCTCCTAAGTGACTTTTTCAGAGTGAAATTGGAGATGTCAAAGATAATGTTTTTATTCATATTGAACTTTCACTTCATGCATGTAAAGCTGCAATGAAGTCAACGAGCTCTCATTTTAATATTAAGGTTGTTTAAGTAATCTAAATACTTTTGTCTTCTAAAATAAAATTTATCATTAGGTGAGAAGTGCACATTCACTAAAGGTAGATGCAAGGACGAAAGAAGCACCAAAATGGGGGGTAACACTCGAATCCTTTTGAAAAAGAAGGGTAGTATTGGGAAAGATATAGTTTGAGTGAAACTTTTTAAGATCATCATTCGTATTTCCAATTTATCTTGATCTATGTGCTGAGTTATTCCATTTACTTGTGTTTTAAGACATTATTTAAGAACGTCAATTTGAACTCTCCAAGCAGTTGATTTGGTAATTAAGTGTCAATCCACTTCGAATCCCAGCGTCTCGCACCCAGATGAATCTTATGGGTTGCGACTGCCTGGATCGAGCCTTATCCGATATATATAGTCAGAGTGGTTTGCGTGCATCTTTGGAATTTAATCAAATCCGATAGCTTTGAATACTTTGTATTGATCTAAAGTAAAAGAAAATATAATAACGGGCAACAGTAAAATGAAAGAATAGAAATAATTAGGCAATAAAATATGAAATATAAAATAGTACAATGGTTTAATATGAAAGAAATTGATTTATGAAAAGTTTGGTTTCCCCAAGTCACGAACTCTAGTAGTAAAAGAAGGGACTGTTTGAATGTAATGTTGTGTCTATTTAAAGCCCATAATGATAAGTGGTGGCACATAAGCCCACAAGAAGATGAAAGAATAGTGCTCAACAAGAATATGCTACATTTTTCTATAAATCAGTGCCATAAAATTAATTTTTTTTGTATTCTTAACGAAGCAATTCAGATGGATTTGATTTACATGATTCGAAGATAATATAATATTCATGAATCATTTTTCAGAAGAAGAAACACTCCTTACTCGTCTATATTCATGAATCATCCCTTATAGAAAAGGTCAATCAATTTCGGTAATTCATCGAGGAATTATAAGTACAAGAGAAAGGTTCAGAACATTATACAAGCTCTCTTTAGTGTTTATTTTGTTCTTACGATCTATCAATTCATAATTTAAGGAAAAAAAAAATACTCATTTGTCTCACTTTTTATTTTTCGAAATTATCCTTGCATCAAAAGTTAACTACCTCCTACTTTCTCTTCATCGAGTAATTTACTCAATTCACACGTCCTTAATAACTCGATTTTATAGAAATTTTATTCCTTTCTCTTTATACGTAACCTAGATGCGATCACGCTACACACATAAAGCAAGCTTTCAAATTTTAGTGTCCACTCCGGATTCACCGTTATAGCCTCGCATCTATAGTTATTAATAACTTTATAATTGAAACAATAACTTTTTTTTTTATATGTAGTGTCTGTTCATTCTATACAGCATTGGTTGCTCAGCCCAAAAGGAATCACGACGAGCCATTGGCATTTCATCCATGGATCGCAACGAAGTGATTCCGGCATATGCCAATTATAAGAAGAGCAAGCAGTGTCGGCATTGCATCGATGCATCACAATTCCATCTTCAAAGTGTTAGGGAGAAAAGAAAGTTCAAATCGTCAAGTGTTTTGCATCGATGAATGGCAATTCCATCTTCAAGTGTAACGGAAAAAAGAAAGTTCAAATCACAAGACGTCTCTCTTCCAAACTTGGATTCCATTTTGTCGAGCCTCGTGAAGGCCGGCGCGTGTGGGGCACCACGGCGTTCGACCAGGTCACCAAGGAGGAGACGGTGGCGGCATTCCTGTACAAGATGGACAGGCCGTGGCTGAATGCGGACGAGTTGAGGGTGGAAATCCGGCAGGGCAATGCGACATGGGTGATCGGCCAGGGAGACGAGACCATCAAGGTGAAGTTGCGGAGGAACCATAAGATGAGGGTGAGCGAGGCCACCGCTTCCACGAGCGCCGACGGTGTGCTCACCATCGTGATTCCCAAGTGGTATGGGCCTCGGAAGTGGTACGAGTTTAAGGACTTGGCGTTTAATAAGTTCAAAACGTTCCGCGTTGGGATTTCTTGGTCTTGACGAAGTTTCACAACACCGCAACTGCTCGAACTATCGATGTGCTGAACCCTTTGATATTGGCCTGCCAGCTTTTTGATCAACATGGTTGATAAATCTTTTGTTTCTTTTACCACATTGCTTGAGTACAAATTCATCTGAGCATTGTGTTCAACTTATTTAGCACTTTCACTTCGGACACTAGCATTCAAGGCCTCAAATCGTTCGTTTATATCCTGGCAATTTGGCAAGACCTTCTATTCTCCAGCTATGGTCGTCAAAAGATGTGTCGCGTGGATATTTGCAAGGCGACGCTGGTTGTCAGGAACTTGACGGTTTCAATCAGTGATTAAAGTCCAATCGAGAATGATTGATGGCCAATTAAATTAGTGAATACAACTTCGAATGAAAAGTGGGTAGATTCTAATATGCCTTGAAATCTCTAGGATTTTGCACAAATCTAATTACTAAATAAGGCACAAACAACATATTGAGAACCACAAGGAAATTGTATGAAACTTGCAGAATACGAGTGTAATGCTTTTATAAACAAGAGTGAATATTAGATTCAAGAAACCTAATCTGATTTGATAATCTATTCCAATCGATCTATTACAAACGATTTTCCCATCTTCATAATCAAAATTTGACGTGTTGTTGTAACTTTTGTGATGTCTTTTTTTTTTTTTTGTCGAAGTGAGGCCTTCTTCATTGCCTATGATTGTTCTCTTTTTTTACTCTTCCCGAAATGGGCCATTTCGTTATGAATTCTACTCTCGATCGATGGATCCTTCTTGACTCGATCTTTAACTTCTGTGCATACTGCGATTTAATCGAACGTCACCACATGTCATATACATCACTTAACTTTGCCCATCGAAAATTCACGATGGATGAACTTATCGGGCATTCCATTGATGGGTCTCGTGGGTGAACTGCATTATCATGAACTTCATGATTGACGAGCTTGTCAGGCATTCCAAGCAATCTAACGATAGGGAAGTTTATCAAGATGGCCTTCTACTTCATCGCCCCTCTCGGATTCGAGGTGGCCAGGTGCTGTGGTGCTGTGGTTCCCAAGCGGGGCCGGCCTTGGAAGCGGTACAAGTACAAGTTCAAGGACTTGGGACTTGATAGGTTCAAGATGGTCCGCGTTCCGATTTCCGGTTAAATTCATTCCAACAAAATCAGTTTTCCCCGATCATTAAATCAACGGTGCCGTAATAAAAATCACCACTTGGTAATTGGCCTGGCCTCCTTTTTCGCTAGCATTTTTCTCCTACTCTTTTAGTTGCATTGACTGTTTCAATTTTTTCCAAAGAATTCACTTCATATTACATTTTCAGGAACAGCTGATCAAAAAAATCCCACTCCATCCGAGGAGGGTTCGGAGACATGTCCGGTGAATAAGGACGAGCTGGATCACTTTCTTTTTCCACAAATCTTTGGTCAACGTCCGAGTCTCTTTCTGACCCCTCCTCTGTCAAGAAAACAATCAATCATCACGGTCAGGAAACCATGCAAAGTTCCTGGAAATTCCATGGACGACGACCCAGACTGTAAGCAACCACCCCGCAATGCATCGAAGAAGCAGAGAAATCTCCCTTCTCCACCCACTTCCCGCCGCTAACCATTTTCTATGCACGCCCACCGTGGAGTTTCTTTGCCATTTACACGAAGAACAAGTCTTGGCTCCGCGTCAATATAATCAAATTGAAAGTTTCGAATGCTTTATATTGATCTAAAGCAAAAGGAAATGTATTAGAAATTATAAAGAAAAAATAAAGCAATAAAATATGAAATAAAGAATAATACAATAGCTTAATATGAAATAATAGATACATATTGTTCAAATCACAACTGTTTGGGTCGAGCGTGAGGCCTTCTAAACTCCTCTCGACACTCTACGCATTGGGATGGGGGCTATCAGGTGTGCCTTGATCCATCCCTAGATCGTAGTCATGCTTCTCGCCAGAGAAACCAGTTCTCCAGAATCCTGATGCACACAGACTTTGTTTTGTGGCTTTTGTTTTGTTTGGAGCTCCTCGGTGATTATCTTGCAGGCAAGCTTTTTAGTTCTATATATATTTCAATAAGTGACATTATTGATAAGATTCGGTGCTAATTCTTAAGCACTTTCTAATCCGTCAGTGCTGTAGATACGAGCGACTAAGGAAACACTACAAAAATATTAAGTTTTAGCGACGAAAAAAATTCGTCGCTAATAAGGCGTCGCAAAATTTAGCGACGAAAAATTTCAATTTTCATTGCTAATTATTCGTGGCAAAATTCGTCGCTAATTTGCCACGAAATTATCCGTCGCAAAATTCGTTGCTAATTTGCTATGAATTCTATTCGTGGCAAAATTCGTCGCTAATTATTCGTTGCAAAATTCGTCGCTAATTTGCGACGAACATCTTTTTTTTGACCGGTAATTTGCAACGAACTTATTTGTGGAAAAATTTATCGCTAATTTAGCGACGAAAAATTTTGACTTTTGCGACGAACCTTGTTCCGGAACGAATTTACGACGAATTTTTATTAATTCTTTAGCGACTAACTCTGCGTCAAATATTGTTTAGAGACGAAATTAGCAACGAAATTTTATTTTTGCAACGAACTTTTATAATTTGTGATCGTATGATAAAATCATTTCTTTTATTTTTTGATTTTAACTCTAATTAACAGCAAAATTAATTTCTAGAATTTATATTTAACATTGATTAAGCACTTAATAACATCAAAATATTATAATAATATGAAAATGAATACATTCATCAACATTTTCCACAAGAATGGCTCTTCGCGCCTAGTTTATCCAACATCAGAAATCTCTACATAGCTCTGGTCCGCTCTAATTCATCGCTATGAACTTGCCCAAAATTGGAAAGTACAGAAAGAAAGAGAAGTCAAAGGAGCATGCCAGGATGAGATCGAAAAGTCGAATGGACAATCCTCACAGAAACCTCGGTGGCATCAAGATCGCGTCACTCATTCCATGTCACCACCCGTCCCCTCAAAGGTCCCATACTCGTAATCCTCGTCAAGATTCTCCATTGTTTTTCAAGATTATCCATTGTTTTTCCAAAGACAAAGGATTTCGTTCCCATTGTCGTGAAAGGCATGAGGCCGAAAGCTCGAGCGGTTTTGATCTCCCTTGCAACCTTCCTCTGCACCTTGGCGCTGATGCGAGTCTACAAAAAAAAAAGGGTTTGTGCTTTTGGTAGATTGTTTTCATTGTGGGCGAGAGCAGTAGGGCAAAGATATAACTAGACACAAACCTTACCTGGCCTAAATTATGCTTCTTTGTCTCTGAAAGCTCAACCAGATCTTCCGTAGCAAGTTGTTCCACCTTTGAATGGCATAGAGGCATAGAAAAACATATATCCTAATTAAAACAGACAAAACCGAATGGTCAGGCATTATTCCAGAAAAAAGGAAGTTCAAGAAAAGGGACTAATTTGGTCAATGTGACAACTGCAACTAATTGATCCATATCCTTCGCAATGATAGCTTGACCAATATGATAGATAAGACCTCCAACAATAGAAATTCTTTCTTTTCTTTATCGGAAATAAAAGGTCATCAGACGGAAACTAAATCACAGCCAACAAGTACAGATCATGATCATGTCCAAATGGGCAATAAATGTAATCTTATACTGATCTCAGGATCACTTATACAACTTGGCTAATGAGCAACTTGCAATCGAGCCAGATATTTCGATAACAAGATATGTATGCATCAGCAATATCTTTATTGAATGCTAACAACAGGACAATGATGCCTCACGGGAATAAACTTCTGTTGTATAAAATAGGCTAAACAAAATAGTCTTGACAAATCCCATATATGGTTCCTGCTAGCTGAGCAAGCCCTGAAGGTGATCCCAAACTAGAGATTCAATCAAGTGACAGTACTTAGGAAATTTTGACAGAACGGAATAAACACTATTAACGAGTAAAAGGTGCATGCAGCAACAGAAGCTAACACCAATTGCTGTGACTTACATGCTCTAAATAATGACCGCAGACCTCTTGTCGACCGGGACACGTAAGCACTGCAAGTCGTTTTGCTTCTTCCAGAGCCACCATCAGCAGTAAACATTACCACAAATTGAGAAGTGCACACTAATTCCCATGAATAAAATAGCATATTAGGGCAACAAATCAACAGACAGGATGATTATATAATGACCAGAAAGAACTAATTGATATAGTTCTTGGCGAGAAATGGCCTTCTAACAAAGTCCTGTTATTCACATGGCATAATTACTGCTTTACCTTTAGAATTGACTCTTTATTAAGTCATGAGAGATCCATTGTGTAAGATATTCAGCAGCATCCAGAGTCATGGATACTCTAGACATTGCAGAAAGTTATAGGCACCGTAAGGGCACAAATACCTCTTCCAATTTTTAAATATTTGAAATGTTATTATTAATACAAAACACGCTCTTCATGAGTACCAGCAAATTAATAAATACTAGCTTGCGTTTGTCATCACAAAGAGCTCTTTCAGATGCCATTGATTTGGCCTACATTAAGCCTATAAATTTTCAGGTCATTAGCTGTACAACTTCCTAAACTCGAGATACTTACATATACAGAAGCCATTAGTCCAAGATTGAAACGAAAAAATCAGAAAGAAGCATGGAAAGTACTTGCTTATACGAACGAAGAAGTAGCAAAGCTTTGCATTGCTTAACTAATAGCAGCACTACGTCATACACATTCGTGGAAAATGACTTCGACATATATTCCAACAGAAGATAATGAGATAGTCGACAAAGTATCTGAGCATCTCAAGGAGGAGAAAATTACCGTAAAATACGCTACATAAGTTCTTCCGGAATAAGTAGTAAAGACTGCGAAATGACTCTTCCCATGACAATTGTCGCTTCTTTAAGAAGTCCATCTCCACTAAACAAAAAGGAGAGGATTAGTGACAAGTTCAGGGGGACACCCTCCATATCTTATATTTCATTTGACAAACCTTTCTCTGCAGCTGGTGAGGTCAGCACTGACATAAGAGAAAGTGGAAGAGTGGACTGAGGATATATCCATGAATTCAAAGCCGTAGAGCAAAAGCCCGTGGAAGCAATGTGGGTTCTTGAACAATGGCTAGTTCTTTGACCCTCAGGGCAAGCACAAAGAGATGTATGATTGGGAACACTGTTGTAACTACCATTTGTAATTAACCTGTAAATCCTGGAAATAATGAAGGAAAAAAAGTTAATTGGACAACAAGAAAGCATACACCAAACCCTGAGCAATATAAAAGAACTAGATGAGTAAACGAACACCATGCTTGAGCATGGTGTGTGAAAATTAATAACCTTGCCACAACTTGTGCTATTAATCAAAGTTGTCAATTTGCATGCAGATTGTAGAATAGTGTGCCACCCATTTATATGTTTTAAGAAAGCAAATATTTTGATGTTCTTAGATGAGAGCAGACATTTCCAATAAACAAAATGATTCAGGAACCAATTGGCAAGTAGAAAACTCAGCTAAATTTCTCAAATCAAGAGATGCTCCCCATTTCATACGATATCTTCAGTGCAAGCAGCACCAGGTTTTGGTGTAAGTATATTTTTTTCCCATGTTTTTAATGCCGTTTAGAATTACATAAGAAGTCATCATGCACAGGCAGTGGAAAAATCTTCAAACCCTAATACAAGATTTAAAATAATTTTCATAATGACCCTATCGAGTAACGACCAAAATTGAAATATTTCCAGATTAGGAACGAAATGCCCCAGGAGTCTCCAAGCAGTTGTAAGCCCTCACAACACTATTAACTGCAAAAGACATTAGCTATTTACTGAAGAAGATGCTGCAATCCGCATGACGGTCTTCAAAGTGAAATCCAGTGGAGCCTTTTGGCCAACTACGTTGTATTGAGAGCAGCCCGAGTAAGTCGAGGTAGAAGTAAAATTTTCAGAACAACCATCAAATAAATGAGAAGATGGTTCTTGAGCAGCCAATCCTTTTAGAGCTTTATCCTACAAAGATAGTGGTGATATTACTGAAGGATATACCAACGGCTCAAGGGAAAGCAGATGAGAGTAATTACCATATCGATATTCGCCAAGCCAGATAGTTTTTCGGAACTAGACGATATCTCGGCAACTGTACGGAATCTACTCTGGTTACACCTCTCAAGTGTTGACTGAGTTTGTACTCCATGATTTTCAGCAACTTTAGAAGAGAAAATAGAATCCTCGGAACTGCAGGTATATGAGGAACGAAACATACAAGAAGGTGCTGACTTCATCAATAATCATTAAGCAACATAAAGAGAGTATTGGGCATCTCATCAATACCATTAAAGATGCTGTTTGCTTCTTGTAGCCATGTTCGAAAGCACAGCAAGATTCTTCATTGCATGACTCTGCTCCACTGTACTGGTTTCCTGCTTAAGAGCACATAACCAAGGAAATAACTTTTTATCTTGCTAGCACGCCAACGATAGACAATAACTCCCCCCCGAAGCTCGAGCTCTCGAAATTAAGACAGATGAGTGACATAAAGCAGAATCTAGAACATCTATTAATTATACCGGAAAATGCCCTTACCTTCACATTCTCCTTCGGCGATGACATTTTAAACCTTCACTTTTTGGCAGGGTATACTTTATTAACTCGCGTATCAATGTATCTTGGTAGTTTAAACACTTCTGATTTCTTAAGACCATCATTCGTGCCGGCATTGTCAGTGGAAGAAAAAGAAAACACTCCCCAATGACTGATCTCGTGCTTATAGAATGAAAACTCAAATACGATCAGCGAAACACTTACTTCAGAGTCTCAAGTAAAGGGGCAGCAGATTCATCTACAAGCTCAACAACATTGACGCGCTTCAGTTGCTCTCCCTGCATAGGACATCAATCCAGTCGAGCCACATTAATTATATATCGCGGCCGTCGATTTTCTTTAGTTTTTTTCAACAACCAAATTGAAGGCACGAGTAAAGCAAAGCAAAGAGTAATTGGGATCGGCGTGCCAACTTAAAAAGCTAGTGACTTTTTGGAGCCTCAAATCAAAAGTCAACATGCTCAAGCAGAGCGAGTCACATCTTAAGCTATGCTGCAGTCCATAGAAATACATCATCGAAAGCAAAGCGGTCCAGAGAACCAGCTAAGCATCATCTCGTCACCGCAGCCACAAAAAAAGGAAAAAAACACAAACACTTGGCAAACGAATCGCCACAAATCTCTAGAGGATTACTTTCAGCTCCGACGGAGTCTTTCTTCTCAGCTTCGCGCCAATCTTCGAAGCTCCTCCTCCGCCTCCGCCGCCGCCGCCGCCGGGACGGAACTTATCCGGAGGAAACGAGCCCGGCCCAGCCACCGTCGCCATGCTCGCCCCGGCCGCTCCCCACGGTCTCGACCGCGCCTCCAACGAATCGCGCTGCAAGCATCTCGCATCAAAAATCCCGGGAAAATGAGGGACGGGACGAAGCGGAACAGCGAGAACGGGAGCGAACGAGCGAGAGAGAGAGAGAGAGAGAGAGAGAGAGAGAGAGAGAGAGCGCCATACCTTCGCCAGAATCACCTCATTTCCGGGAAGATGACGATCGGCGGCGAGCCCTAGCCCGATTCGATCGAGGGACCGAGCTGCGCTCCGGCTTTCGACGCGCTCGAGAGATTGATCGAGGTGGAACCGCGAGGACGGACCGCAAACGAAGAGAGAGAGAGAGAGAAGCAAAAGCAAAAAGTGGAGAGAAAGAAAGAGAAAGTTGGAGCCTTGGGAGGCTTTTTGGTTTTGAACACATTTCGATTTTCCCTCCATATGCCTAGAGTATATTAAGCCACGGATTTAGTCACGAAAATAAATATAGTAAAACAAATGCCAAGAGTAGTTATTTTCGTGACTAATTAGCCACGGAAAACTTTTCGTGATAAATTCCATCGTAAGTTAGCCACGGAGAAATTTTCGTGGCAAATTCCGTCGCTAATTTGCCACAAAAAATTTTTCGTCACAAATTCCGTCGCAAATTAGCGACGAATTTTTTTTTTTTTGTTTCAAATTAGCGACGAGTTTTTTTTCCGTCGCAAATTAGCCACGGATTTAGCTATGGAAATAAATATCGTAGGGAAAATGCCAAGAGTAGTTATTTTAGCTATGGATTTAGCCACGGAAATAAATATAATAGGGAAAATGCCTATAATAGTTATTTCCGTGAGCCACGAAAATAAATATTATAGGGAAAATGCTAAAAGTAGTTATTTCCGTGACTAAATCGGTGGCTAATTAGTCACAGATTTAGCCACGGAAATAAATATAGTAGGGAAAATGCCAAGAGTAGTTATTTCCGTAGCTAATTAGCCACGGAAAATTTTTCGCGACAAATTCCGTCGTAAATTAGCCATGGAGAAGTTTTCGTCGCAAATTAGCTATGGAAAATTTTTCGTGGCAAATTCCACGAAAAAATTTTTGTGTCAAATTTCGTCGCAAATTAGCCACGGAAAATTTTCCATCGCTTCTTTCGTCGTAAATTAGCGATGAATAATTTTTCGTCGCAAATTTTCCGTGACTAAATCTTTTTTTTTTTTTTGTAGTGAAAGTATTTTGGATTTTGCAATCGTGACGATGAAGCAAGTTGTGCAGTGAATTTCTGACTCTGGTGGTAGTACTTGCGCCGCGGTAAGTTCTTCGTGACGCGACGCGAAGCGTACGCGCAAATGCCTTTCTTTTTCTTTCTTTCTTCCTCCCCTTTCTATTTGCGCGTGCTCTGCCGACATTGACTAGTCAAACTAAGCCTGGTAGTCAGGTCAGAGTCAATGCGGCCTTTCCCATTCAGCCGACGTCCTCGTTCGTTTTAAAAGAGGGGAAGCCATTCCGGGCATTTCACCGGAGAATCACTGATCGACCAGGCAATCAAGCAGCTCAACAGCCATTTCGAGAAGGAGGGAACACAAAAAGAGCTCCCCCCCGTTGCCACTTCCAAGCGACAGCTCAGGTGTGGAGTTTTAGTTGACCTACTCCCAAACAGGGGCGTGCCATTGAAGAGAGTTTGAGCCGCGAGCGATGGCCGGAGACGAGGGAAAGAAGGTGAACGGGGACGAGGGGAGGTCGGAGCAAATCGAGGGAGAGCTCGTCCAACAAATCAGGAGGAGCGATGGCTTGGTACATGATCACGCTTTATGTTGTGTACCCATTTCACCAAGCACGATTGTCAACTGCTCACCTCTTTCTCTCTTGTTTTTCCCGTTTAATTGCACGTGAATTCTTGAAGGTGAACAAGACAATTACCCCAGTTCTTTTGGCATTTTGCTCCCCTCTTGATAGAAGCTCTTCGCTGCAATGTTAATGAAGGAAAAACCAGCTTTTGGCAACTTAGACAGCAGATTTTAATTGCCATTATGCAGTCAATTGTAATGAGAAACATTGTCGTGACCCTTCTCTCTGCATCTACATTGTCATTGGAGCGCTGGGAAAAAAATATATTCAAATCATTATGCGTTTCCCTTGTCCTGTGTAGGTAAAGCATTCCATGCCGTTCGTCAACCCTTGCGAAGTCCCGCGCGTGTGGGGCACCACGTCGTACAACCTGGCCTCCGAGGAAGAGACGGCAGCGGCTTATGTGTACAAGATGGACAAGACGTGGCTGACGGCAGATCAGGTGAGGGTGGAGATCCGGTGGGGCTATGCCTTGTGGGTGATCGGCCATGGAGACGAGCCCGTCGAGGTGGAGTTGCCGAGGAACAGTGAGATGATGGTGAGAGAGGCCACGGCTTCTATGAGCCCGGGTGGCGTGCTCACCATCGTGATTCCGAAGAGGCAGCGGCCTCGGAAGTGGTACGAGTTCACGGACTTGGTGTTTTCATGGTTCGAAACGGTTCATGTTGGGATCTCCAGTTAAATTGGCTTTAGCAAAGTGTCTTAGCATTGCGAGTATTCGAACTATTCCTCATTATGCCTCATGGTACCCGAACTTCGCTTTTCTGAAATAAGTACTGCCTTAGAATCGATTTAACATGATATTGCTAGCATTAATGTGAGATTTTGTCGGACCACTTCCATTTGTTTTAAAAGTTTAAGCCGTTAAATGAATGCATTATTTTTTATATTGAAATATTCTAACAATTAGCAATGTTGGCTGATGTGGATGATTGTGCTACTATATCATCGCTTGTAAACTTTGGACGCCAACTTTTTTTTTTAAACGATGTCTAAGTTTATAAATATTGCTCTACAGAATTTATTTATCATAAGAGATTTTTACAAGCGAGCCATATTCATCAATCAATATCAGTTAGAAAAAATCATGACCTGTAGAGTTTCGTGTAAAAATTTAATATTTGGAAACATCCATTGCGTGAATCTCCGAAGCCTACATCTACATCGGATGTTGATGAACCCCACTTAAAACAAATAAAAAAATGACTTGACCTTTTGTTTTATGCGAGTGTATACACACACTTGTACACATGCGCACAGATAAAAATATGACTCGACTTAGATGATTTTATAGGGAAATTTGTCCAAAAAGCCCTAAACATGTTATACGAATGCCAATTCAGTCATAAATCTTTTGATAACTTATCAATTCAGTCTTAAAACTTTTAATGATTTGCCAATTTAGTCATCAATAATTAGTAATGACCTTATACCTAAAAATATATTCTTTATAATTCCATATGGCATTCGCTAGAGAAGGTGTTGCAAAGGGACATGGATAATAAGCCTGCCTGAGGGTGGCAAGCAATCTCGGCAAGGTCAATCGTTAAAAAACTGAAGTCAAACAATCAAAGTGAATGTCATCCAAGGGTCATGACGAAAGCAATTCCGGCAATTCCATCTGTATGAGAAGAGGGGGCATTGCATCGGTGAATCACAGCTTCACAACACCGGTGTTACAGTAAGAAAAGAGAAAATTCAAGTCGTCATGCAGTTCTTGGCTCCTCCCTCAGGCCAACGAGGCGGGATCCGGAACAAGATCAACGATGCCCGGAACAAAATCGACAATGCCCGGAACAAAGTCAAGGAAACGGCCTTCTATTTCGTTGCCCCTCTCGAATTCCTCGCCACCCAGCCTGTGCGGGGCACCACGGCGTTCGACCAGGTCACCGAGGAGGAGACGGTGGTGGCGTTCATGTACAAGATGGACAGACCTTGGCTGCAGGCGGATGAGTTGAGGGTGGAGATCCGGCAGGGCAATGCCTTGTGGGTGATCGGCCAAAGAGACGAGACCATCAAGGTAAAGTTGCGGAGGAACCATAAGATGAGGTTGAGCAAGGCCACGGCTTCTATGAGCGCCGACGGCGTGCTCACCGTTGCGATTCCCAAGAGGCACGGGCCTCAGAAGTGGTACGAGTATAAGGACTTGGCATTTAATAAGTTTAAAACAGTCCGTGTTGGGATTTCTTGGTCTTAACGAAGTGTCATAACACTGCAAGTGCTCGAACTATCGATGTGATGAACCCTTATCATTAGCCTCTCAGCTTGTTGATCAACACGGTTGACAATTTGATCTTTTGTCTCTTTTACCACACTACTTGAGTGCAGATTCATCTGAGCAGTGTGTTCAGCTTATTTAACACTCACTACAAAAAAATACCGGATTTGCGACGGATTTTGCGACGGAAAAAATTCCGTCGCTAATCGGTCGTCACAAAATTTTGCGACGGAAAATTCACAAGAAAAAGAATTCGTCGCAAATTTGCGACGGCACATAGTCCGTCGCAAAATTCGTCGCAAATATTCCGTCGCAAATTTCGTCGCAAAATTTGCGACGAACGTTTGTCCGTCGCAAAATTCGTCGCAAAAATCCGTCGCAATTTCGTCGCAAAATTTGCGACGAACGTTTGTCCGTCGCAAAATTCGTCGCAAAAAATCCGTCGCAAATTTCGTCGCAAAATTTGCGACAAACGTTTGTCCGTCACAAAATTCGTCGCAAAATTTGCGACGAACGCTTGTCCGTCGCAAAATTCGTCGCAAAAATCCGTCGCAATTTCGTCGCAAAATTCGTCGCAAAATTTGCGACGGACGTTTGTCCGTCGCAAAATTCGTCGCAATTTTCGTCGTAAAATTTGTCGCGAATTTCGTTAGAAAATTCGTCGCGAATTTCGTCGCAAATTAGTGACAAACTTTAATGATAGCAAAATTCGGCTTAAAATATTCGTCGCTATTTTTATATCATTTCGGCCATAAATTCTTATCCATATCAATCAAAGGAGACAATGATATATAATTGAAACAGAAAAACGAACAAACCATAAATTCTGACAAACCAGCCACAATGACATATAATTGAAACAAATAACAGAAGGAAAGTTGTAGAGTCTTACATGATACTATTTGATATCCAATCTTACAATACAGTCAAAACATGAACTAAGAGACGGGACAACCATAGAAGACGCAAAAAAATCATACAGAAGAAGACGCGGCTTTGGTACGATGGCAGGACACCAAAAGTAGTCACTTTTGTCGAGACTTGAGGAAATGTCGATACATAAATCAGTCCAGAATATAAAAAAAACGTTTATGCATGGATGTGGAACTAGGTGTAAAATAACAAAATGGTTAACAAAAATACGTTTCGGGACGAACATAAATGTTCTTACATATGAATATGAGTGAAATTATGAAAAATCAAGATTATGAAGCAAGCTTACCCCCGATTTTGAGAATTTTAACTAGAAAGACCGGAGAAAATCTTCATCATCATCATCATCATCAGCAGCATTCTCGGCATCAATGTGTTGGTCATCATTGTACCCATCACCTACTGGATTGGCTGGAGGTACAGGAGGATCGCCATAGCGATTGATGTTAAGGTGTTGCATAACGACTCTCATTTGTTCTTCCAAGTTATGTATTTGTTCATCCTTCTTAACAAGTAAATTATTGAGACGATGCACTTCTTGGGTCAAATTCTCGTCTGGTCGTGACCTCCTTCGACCAGTCCCAGTGGATGATGAACTTCCAGGACCATTCGGCATGAACATCCTTGATAATGATCCCATCCCAAATATTTTTCCTTTTTTCGCCCCACCCGTTGCCTCCATCCATAATGCCATATTATCAACTGGCGGCCGGGACTCAGGACAATCATCACTACCACTAGCACTACTCATTAAAAGTTCATCATATTTTTCCTACATTAACAATATAGATGAAAATAAAATCACTATATATATCTACCAAAAATATTGAAAGCATTCACGGTTTTCATTATAGTTTACACATAAGCCAAAGTATAACCTTACATACCTTAACAGCTTTTGCTCGATCGCCAGTCCATGTCTTATCTTTCTTTTGAAATGTGCATTCAAATGTTGCTGCAAATGTCGGTTCCGTCCCTAATTCATGTGCCTACAAAATGTAAACATGAGTAATTGAATTAAATTAACTAATAACTCATTTAACAGACTTACCATTCGTTTGCGATGCTCCGCAATGTTGATAGCGCCCCCAGCATATGTGGCTGACCCATCACTAGAACTAGAAGATCGATTCTTCTTATTCCGCTCACAGAGTTGCCGACTATGTTCAGATGCCCAAAATGTGTTAATTGCCTCGCAATTGTCAGCTGTAAAGAAAGACGGCTTCGCTTGCTTGCTCTTCGCTCTATTCATGACATTTCGCATAAAATCACTTATTTTCTTATCGAAAATTCTTCTCACTTCATTGTCTTCCGATTCCTCCCACTTGAACTTCCGCTGCAATGAATAAAAACACAAATTAAAAATTATTATGATGATTACATATCCATAACCATGCACCAGACAAATATAGACAGATTTTGTAAAGTTCATGTCAGGGAAAATATCTGGTCCTTTAGGTATCGAAAACTATAGAGTTGTTCTGGTCCCTTTACATCATTCTTGACCATCAATATACTACACCATACTTAATTGGTGAGAAAATAAAATATGTAAAACTTACCTTGAACTCATTCCACCACATTTCTTTCACTTCTTGTGGAACATTTCTGTAAGTAATATACTCTCCCATCCAAAAGTTTCTTACTATTTTGTTCAATTCCCTCACAAAGACGAGCATCCGTGAATCGCATTTATATGAATATTGTGCAACATGGACAATTCAATTGACATCAATATCTAAAGCCCTAAATATTACATATACTAAAATAAAAATGAAGTACTTACGAATCTCCAAATGGGCATATGAAGAATCGGTTATCTTCTTGACCTATGTTTCTGTCAATATTCGATTGTTCCGCCGAATAATGGGGTGGAACGGAAGGAGAGGGAGCTAAAGGAGATTGAACTGGAGAACGTTCAGTTCGCATGTGGCCAAGTCCCGTAACATGTTGTTGAGTGTTGGAGGAAGGGCCAACGTGTCCATATTGTGACAGACCATACTGTGGTTGAGGGTTAGATGCCGGGACAGGGGAAGAGGAAAGGGCCGGGGACGAGGACGAGGAAGAGCCTTGTCTTCTAGGCATGTGACCTCCATGTTTAAACTGACAAGTATGAAGGTTATGCGAATGTGTACATAACTATTGACACGTATTACGAACACATAATGATGTACATGACGAAGCTTACCATTTTGATGGAAAGACTGAGAAAATGTTTCCTTGAAATGAGCCAATGTCGAGTGTTTATGACGTGCAATTTCCTACAAACAAATATACTATGAATCCCATTCATTTTGATATGAAACATCAATGTATGAGCACGATTTGGGTGGCTACAGGTATTAAACATCACTATATGAATCGCATTCATTTTGATTAAATTTTTTTTTACAACGTACAAAAATTTAAATTTCACTGAAAGTGGGTGGCCACAGGTATTCTGAGTCATTCTGTACAGTTTTGTAAGAAAAAAATTATTATTATTGCAAAAAAAAATTCTGGGCCCTAAAAAAAATTTCACTAACAGTTAGTGGCCACCGATATTCTACGACATTTTGTAAAGTTTTGAAATTTTAAAATTATAAGCATTTTTAAATTATTATTTTTTAATATAAATTTTTTTCGTGAAATAAAAAAATTTGTCCATACTAAAATTGGGTGGCCACAGGTAGTCTAATCTATTAGGTAAAGTTTCCAAAATTTTTGTCCTTATTT